ATAAGTATAAAAAATATAGCTTAATCATATTCTAATACCCCTTTAAGAAAATCTCGGTGTAGTTTTAAGAAGAAAATAAATAAATAAATAAATGCCAAATATATTGTACTGAAAACTTTAATAAGATAAAATAAGCCAGACAATAATAACTTGACAGCTTGAAAGAAAGTCAGTGTAACTAGACAGAAATCATAATCCCCACCCAACCTTAACTGACTTTAAACTTGCCACACAAAGATACACTTGCTTTCTACATTCGAAGAAAAGCCAACACCCTCTTAATAAAAAAATGGGAATTCTTTTAACATCACCAACTTAACTTAAAAATAGAGTAAATCCAATTTTTTCATAAATTATTCTTAGCATTACTTGAGAATGGAACCGAGCTCTGAATGTTAAGTTTAAAATTTAAAGTTAAATTTTAAGATTTAAACTTTGGTCACTAGGGAGACATATTTTTAAAAAAATAATTATATTATGCTCTACTTTGTATTGAGCACGGTTTTCTTTAAAATAAAAATAATTGCTAAAGAACTTTGAATTATAAATCGGACTGTTCTTTCCTATTATTTGAAATATATATATATATATATATATATAGAGAGAGAGAGAAGAGTGAAGAGCAAAGGTTTGGTGAGGTCTGGGGCTAACTCCTTGACTGTATGCCCCTAAGACTCAAGTGGTGGTGGTGGTGGTGGGGGGGGTCTGTATGGCCTAGTACCTAGTAATGTGAGAAAGGAAGACATTTTAAACATGTAAAAACAGATGAAATATTAAATAAACATGATATAATGGAATGTGCGTACACCTGTGTTTCTCCTCACTGGAATATGATTGGCTGGTGTCTGTCATAAATACCAACGGACGTGTAGGTGAGTCAAGAGCCTTAGTCTGAGAGCTAAGTCTATAATGATGCCCATTGGACTACGCCATTGATCTACACTTCTTACCTGTGACTACGACGCATACCAGTCGATTACTGCTACCATATTCTACTTGGTTTTAGTAGCTACTTAACTTAGCTACTTCGTTCAAATATATCCCTTTCTGGGACATATCAAAACACTTTATTCAAATTCAATATAAACTAAAATTTTTATTACACTCTTTGATTGGATGTCCTCCAGATATAGATGCCTGGGGTCATCGTATCCTCTCCCCCAGCCACTTCTGCATGCTACTAAGAGAGAGGGAGGTTGCTTATTGTGGATAATGTTAGTCAAACAGTTTCTTCTCATCAAGTCAATTGCTTCGAAATGAATTAAAAAATAGAGCCAATAACTTTTTTGATTTGATGTTTTTTTTATAATGTAAAGTTGTTTATAACAATGAAAGCAAATTGTTCTGATTTTTATATCTTTTATTTCATGTTATCCTAGCTGATTATCAAAAAGGCACAGTCATTCCAAAGGGATCGCAATAACCAGCTTCCTCTCTAAAAGTATTGGACACACAATATATATTTTTTTTAAATCATAATTTCTATTACTGCAACTTACCTAAACCTTGAGTAGAATATAGTAAATCTCTATCTATAAAAGGCAGGATGTGTGTGTGTGTGTGTGTGTGTGTGTGTAATGAATGCACTGCTGCAATTTTCAACGGATTTGCACCAAAATTTACATGCACATGCTCCAAGTTAGTGGGAAGGCCAAGACTGACTTTGCATTTTCCCAACTCCCATCGATTTTTTCATACTTCTACAGCAGTTTTCATGTAGTTTGTGGCCATTTTGTACTGGCCAGAGTGAGAGCCAATAGCTGGCTGCCACAAAAAGGCAGGAAGATTCTATTAGCCAGTGTGAGAGCCAACAGCTGACTGACATGAATGTTAACTAGCATGCTAGCATGCAAAAAAAATCGATAGCTGCACTCATCACAAGTGGGAAAAATTTAAATCTACATGGCACTTTACTCCAATTGGCTCATTCACTTGCTTAAATTCAACGTTGATTCTGATTCTGCAGAACTGGGTTGGGTGTGAAAAAGTATTTGTTGTTAACATTCTTTATTCATTTGATTTTTCCAGTTACGAGTCCTTTTTTAAAGCTGATAGTTTTATGTTCATTTTGTTTAGTTCTTTTTTTCATAACAGATTTAATGTTTAGCATAGAGCTTAGAAAAAATTCGCAGTGTGAGATAGGCAAGAAGTAAGGCATGTAGCAACATCAGCATGGCAAAGGGCACTCCTTTAAAGACAAGGAAGGGCAAAAGTATTTTAAGTCAAGTGATAGTGATTGCTGTATGAATCGTACGATTTTTGAATCAAGCATGGGCAATGCTGCTAGTATTATATATATATATATATATATATATATATGGTTATTTGGAGATATAAAGAAATGTTTGCTTACATAGAAATTTATTGACAAAAGAACAGAAAATAACATGTAAAAGTTGCAGGGATATATCAATAAATAATATTCAGTATTTAATGGCATATCCATTATATGATGTGACAGCTGTAAGATATTTAGAATAATTTAAAGAAAGCTTCTTGATGAAATTAACACCAAATTTTGTAGAGTAATTAGCCATGGTTAAGTGTAATTGGAAGAAGCCCAATAAACAATTCACAAAGTTTCGAATAAACAATAACAAAAGAAAGAAAAGAACAAGACAAAGATAATACTAAGCAGATAATTGTGGTGACCGGAGTAACCTGTGTTTGCTGAAAAAAGATTCATTCTCAGAAATATTTATGACCTCAGTCTGCTGAACAAATGTAATGAGCTCATGATAGTTTGCACCCATTAAAAAAAAGCCTTCTCCAAAAGTATTTTGATTCTGGATAAATCTTTTTACCCAACTTCAACTATCCATTAAATATTTTAGGTTAAATACTTATAACCACCCCATTAACCATTGAAGCATCTATTAATATGTAACAGGTTACATGGTGTTCCTCTTTTCTTAAAATTTTTTCTCATCTTTCAACTTCTCTATCAACACTTTTTATTTTTTTTAGTTTATAACCTAATATTATTAAATGTTAGATTCATATACTGTGTAGTGTTACTCCCTTGAAACATAAAGATTATTTATAAACAAAAATACAATTCACCATGCCTACCCCCTCCTTTTCAATCATATGCTTGCCCCTTACACATTATAATTTTTCACCTTAAATATTTATTTTTCAATGGAAAAATATGTACCATATAAACTTTAGGCTTGCATCATTTTTTTTTGCTTTGTTATTTCCAAATATCTTCCTTCATACACTCTATATTTTGAATTTAAATCCCAATAATATATTGGGTTTATATTAAATTTGAGCTTTGAATCTGTGTATAATTTAGTGTTCCTCCCATGCGACCCAATATTTTAAAAAAACAACTGTAATAAGTGGCCCATTTGTCATATGTGCCTGACACTTTGGCAAACCATGAAACTTTAAGTTGCACTACAAACATAGTTATACATGTATATTTTAATATATACCACATAGCTCTGTTTAACTACAGTGAGCACTGTTTTGTTTGCACCATAAATTAAATATATAATTATATGCACATTATCGCATGCATATACAGTTACTAATATCTCATTATTTAGTTTATATTTACACTTTACATTCATATCTATATATATATATATATATATATATAATAAGAGCAAAAACACTTTATATAACTTCATACAACCTTCATTTTAACAATTGAAACCAAGGTTGTATGTGGTTACATAAGGTGTTTAAGCTCCTTTATTATATTTACTTGTCATGCATGTCCTTTTTTCAAGGCATCTGCATTGAGGACTTTTTGATATACATCCATTTTGTGATGCAGTATTTTTCCAGCTTCTTAACAGATTTGTTTATATATATATATATATATATATATATGAAGAAAATATCTGGAAAAACAAAACAAAAATCCTTAAAATGCGATTATGTTGTTTTAATATGAATGAAATGTTGATGTCTTCATTCTGTCGGATTTATATCCATTTATATTTGCTTATCATACTGTCCACTGGAAATACAAACTTGAATTCATTTTATTACATGGAGGACTGCATGCTTATCCGAAGATACAGGAATCTACTAGTCTCTGCGTATTCCTATAAGAACAGAAAAGATTTTCTAACGAACTGTATATATGAAAAGTCTTTCCATCAGAATCAAATTTATAAAATTTTTAAGAATACGTTGTGAAAGCGTCGCCCATTTGACGACAACGTGACCACGCTCAAACGGAAAGCTGATCATTTAAAATTTTTTTATCTGTTTTGAATAAGACTTGTTTTTATGTCCATCGTTTTTTAAGTAAATGTTATACTGATTATGTTGATTGTATTTTAATGAATATTGTCCTGACGAAGGTTATTAAACTGAAACGTCAGACGTCGACATTTCATTCATATTAAAACAACATAATCGCATTTTAAGGATTTTTGTTTTGTTTTTCCAGATATTTTCTTCATTCTGTCGGATTTATATCCATTTATATTTGCTTATCATATATATATATATATATATATATATATATAAAGAAATATAGTTTTAAGGTGTGCTATATTTATGGGATAAAGTGTTCAATATCAGAGATAGAGCATGTGTAAATATAAAAGTGAACACTGAAGTCAACACTTAGAGGAGACAAGCTGTTTTGTGCTAGACACAATCGGAGGCCTGACGATTGCATCTAGCATGAAACCGCATACTAAGAAAAAATCCCATCATGCATCTGTACACTTTGTCCATGAATTTGGGGTGGGGGATGTTTTTGCAGTTATTCTTATCCAGATTGGAATCAACAATTTTATCCCACTTCTGTTGCAAAACCAAATGACTAGACTCTAACTGTTCCAACCATGAAATCCAGGTTTGGATTTCACTATGGTCTATTTGTTAAAGAGGTGACCTTGATAATTTTGACCTGGGAAAATGATCTCAGTGTGCAGCTAACAACCTTATCAAATATTTTTTAAAAATAATTCTTGTAGATTAGCTCTCTGATTAACAATTTCAAACCATTATCCACTATACCATGCAAGCTTACAGCGCCTGGTATTTCCAAGTGGTCACCCATCTAGGTACTGACCAGGCTTGACAATGCTTAATTTCAGTAATCATACAGGAACTAGCATTTCTACATGATGTGGCTGTAAGCCTTGTTTGTTTACAAATGTCAAGTTTGAAACTTTGTTTGCATCATTGATATCTGCATTCAAAACAGACATTTTTTTTTTTAATTTTGCAAGAAGATTTGTTTTAAATATATAGTCTTATGTGTTTTATTTTAAGTAAATATTTCGAATAACAATTGTTTAGGGAAATAGATTTTTTACATAAAGATGCCATATTTTTAAAAATTTATTTTTGTATAAATTAACAAAACTATAAAAAATCCATGACTTAAGCAATTTTTCAAGGCAAGACATTAGTAAATAAAACCCAAGTGCAGATAACTGTGTAAAAGTCAGAGATCAATTTGACACTGTTTTGGTGTTATACAGGGCCCTTCTTTTAAATCAATAAAAAATTAATATTTTTTGATTCTGAAAAATGTTGTGGCACCAGAAGGGGATCTTTTCTGTTAATTTACCCCAAAATAAAAAGAATTTATATTTACTAAAATTCACCCAAAATTCTCCCAGAGCAAGGCCCTTCCTTTGCACTCTGTTTGGGTTGACCTTTGTCATCGCCCCAAATATGGGTGACTCAAGTACACTATTTTTAAATTTGTTGTCTGCATTCACACTCACTGCAATAAACAAACCAAAAAACAGATTTTTTTAAATTGTAAAAAATTCCTTATAAACACCTCAAATATCATCCACACTTATGAAATGTGAATAACTCTTTGAGTTTTGGTAGTTTTTCATTCTGAGGGTTTTAAGAGTTGTTTGAAAGCAAATTTTGACTTAAAATTTATAATTTCAAGAGTGCCAAAAATTTAATAAAAAAACAAACAAACTTTGATTTAAAATTTATAATTTCTTGGGGTGAGTTAATATTTGCAATAAGAAACTTTACATTATTTGGGGTGAACAGAAAAGATCCCAGGAAGGTCCAAAGAATACCAATTTATTAAAATTATTTTTCCCTATTTTTTATGAGTGGACCAATTTATTTAAGTAGTGCCGTGTGCAGGAAAAACAACCCCAAATCATTTATTTCCAACACAGGAAGATATGGTTTTGAATGGTTTTCATCAAATAGATTTTGGTCTTGTCAGGCTATATTTTGTCCAAGAATAAAGCAGCCTTTTTCTGATGATGGTGTTTGTCTATTTATCTCTCAGACTGATACAAAAGCCACTATCACTGTTTTTTTGCACATTATTAGGAGCCAGATCAGGCTAAAAATGGAGTACTGCTGCCATATATGGGCAGGAGCTTCCCGGACTCCACTTTCCAGTCTTATAGAGCCCAAAAGTTTCTCTGCTATCCTCTGTCTTTACAAGAACCAGATGAGGCTAAAAATGGAGTACTGCTGCCATATATGGACAGGAGCTGCCCAGACTCCACTTTCCAGTCTTGATAGGGTCCAAAAGCGTCTCTGCTATCCTCTGCCTTTACAAGAGCCAGATCAGGCTGGAAATGGAGTACTGCTGCTATATATGAGCAGCATCTGCCCAGTTTTCACTTTCCACTCCCGATAGTCTAAATGTGACTCCAAGTCCTTGTAGGTGCCATTATTTTCCACTCTACAACACCTTTCTCATAGATGAGATATTGTTAGCCTCTCGCTGCTGTATTGCTATTTCTATGGGGAGTTTTTAGATGAACTATACTTCTTAGTTCCACCAGTCCTAACCTTCATGTCTATGAACCATCATACCATGCACATTGTATCAAACTGCCCTTATTCTCTTCATATTCCCTTGGTGAGATGTAAGTTCCACTCAATCCGCTTCTTCCCATGAAATATTGCCTTGTGGAATTGACACCAAAAGGTTGCTTTCTTAAACATTTCACACTTAACCTGTTCAATTCTAGTCTTATCTTCCATATATATCCACATAAACTGTACCTCTTAGACTGTAACCTTCTACCTTGAGTGACTCGAGCTTTGTGCAAGGTGATCACTGTAAAAAGAAAAATCAAAGAAGTCTCTTAAAAGTTTACTCAGCTCTTTATTACTTAAAGTAAAAGTATTGTTTTGGGTGATATATCTCAGAAAACTTTTGATAATTCTACCAAAGAAGACTACTATCTTTAACCATGAATTTTGCAAATTAGCAATTCACAGTAAGAAGAAGAAAGAAGAGAAAATGACTAAAAGAAGAAAGAAGAGAAAATGACTAACTTTCTTGGATAAATCTGAATTTTTTTTTTTAATTTTCTGGTTGTTAGTGTTTTCAGCTGATATATTTGTCTGGGACTTGTTTAGTCAGTGGAGGGGATAAAAGAAATGTTAAATATATATGGATAATAAAAAAAAAGAAAAGAAATGAAACGTTAACTGTCTGAGACAGATAATAAATATTTAAGCTATACCAGCAAAAAAAGGGGAGTTCCTGCAAAGCCTGCATATTTTATGAGTAAGCTAAAAATAAGTACACTTGTGTAATACAAATCGTGATGGAAATCACAAACAGAAAAATGCACTTTGTTTCAGAAAATAAAAACTTAGTTGTTCAATTCACCTTCACTGATAAATTATAAACTATTGCATCTCCTGCTGGGACAAGATTGCTTTTGAATAAATTTAAATATATTTATGCAGTTTTTACAGAAAGGAAAATTGGATAGTTATCTATTCTTTATCCAGAAATTCATTCTAAATACAAAGAAAAATGCATACAGACAAAACAAGAATCACTCTTGTAAAAATCAGCAGTTATATACAGTAGCTCTGTTTTATCAATAATTCTTGCATTCATTTCTGGCCAATGATAATCACTTTCTATCTGATTTCATTTCTCTAGTAATATTATATTTAGGCAAAAGCCTTACTTTCAAACATGTTTCCTTGAATGTGACAGACATGGAAAATTTGATGAATGTTATATAAATTTTCTTGTAAAATTTAGCAGTTATATACAGTAGCTCTGTTTTATCAATAATTCTTGCATTCATTTCTGGCCAATGATAATCACTTTCTATCTGATTTAATGCATTTCTCTAGTAATATTATATTTAGGCAAAAGCCTTACTTTCAAACATGTTTCCTTGAATGTGACAGACATGGAAAATTTGATGAATGTTATATAAATTTTCTTGTAAAATTTAGCAGTTATATACAGTAGCTCTGTTTTATCAATAATTCTTGCATTCATTTCTGGCCAATGATAATCACTTTCTATCTGATTTAATGCATTTCTCTAGTAATATTATATTTAGGCAAAAGCCTTACTTTCAAACATGTTTCCTTGAATGTGACAGACATGGAAAATTTGATGAATGTTATATAAATTTTCTTGTAAAATTTAGCAGTTATATACAGTAGCTCTGTTTTATCAATAATTCTTGCATTCATTTCTGGCCAATGATAATCACTTTCTATCTGATTTCATTTCTCTAGTAATATTATATTTAGGCAAAAGCCTTACTTTCAAACATGTTTCCTTGAATGTGACAGACATGGAAAATTTGATGAATGTTATATAAATTTTCTTGTAAAATTTAGCAGTTATATACAGTAGCTCTGTTTTATCAATAATTCTTGCATTTATTTCTGGCCAATGATAATCACTTTCTATCTGATTTAATGCATTTCTCTAGTAATATTATATTTAGGCAAAAGCCTTACTTTCAAACATGTTTCCTTGAATGTGACAGACATGGAAAATTTGATGAATGTTATATAAATTTTCTTGTAAAATTTAGCAGTTATATACAGTAGCTCTGTTTTATCAATAATTCTTGCATTCATTTCTGGCCAATGATAATCACTTTCTATCTGATTTTAATGCATTTCTACAGTAAAATAATTTCTATAGTAAAACCAATATACATATGTTTTTGTGATACATAAAATAGGCATATTCTATTAGTAACTTATTGCATTAATTCCTGAACACTGACTGACAAACTCTTTCTTCCTGAATTTATATTTCTACAGTAAACATATATATATATATATATATATATATATATATATATATATATATATATATATATATATATATATATATATAAAATAAAAGAAAGAACAAAAGATATATTATCCAGTGTTCTTATAGATATTTTTATTTTTACAATATAATGCTCAATGTAAATTTACAGAGCATTAATATTATAAATTAATTGATTTAAAATATGTTTTTTTTAAACATTTTTGAAACATGGTTAGAACTATGTAGCGAAAAAAAACATATTTTAAATCAATTAATTTATAATATATATTTGGGCATAAACCTTACTTTCAAACATGTTTCCTTGAATATGACAGACATTGATGAATTTTATGTATATTTTCTTGTAAAATTTAGCGGTTATACATAATAGGTCTATTTTACCAATCATTTCTGCATTAATTTTTGGTCAATGATAATCCTTTTCTATTTGATGTTTATTGCATTTCTCCATATATATATATATATATATATATATATATATAGTGTTAAGTGCCAGAATTGCTAGTTCTTTTTCTGTGAGAAAAGCCTTTTGAGCAGGCAGGTTTTTGTTAAAAAAAATGTGCACTGTCAATTGCTAAGATAGAGTGTTAGTAGAATTATAGAATTATATATATATATATATATATATATATATATATAATTGCTGGCTACTAGTTTCTGATTACACTTGCCTTTCAAAGTGGCTAGCCAAACCCTATTCTAGACACATACTCTGTTGTTTATACTGCAACTATGATGAGCAGACCTTAGTTACAGTTTCTGGGAGAGAATGCATAATCCTGTGTGATCAATTTTTTGAAAAAGGCTAGTATACCCAAACCCTCAGAGATTTACATGAGAGCACAAACATCAACAGTTTCTGAAGAGTTCTATCTAATTTCACTAACAAGGCTTGGGTCATTTTTCAGACACTTTTGCAAAGGGCCACCGATTGATTTTCCTTTGTGACCAATCACCTATAGTGAGATTCAAATCCAGGTCTCATTGTCAGTAATTGAAAGTTCTAACCACTCAGCCACATATCCACTTGCTATATATATATATATATATATATATATATATATATATAAAACTGAATTGG